GGGACCAAGTTAAATTAAATTCTTTTTGTTCGTTTGTTTTATGTTTGGCGTGGCCTTACCTTTTCTGTATGGACTGTGGCTTCTAGAATAGGCCTAGTTGGAAACACATATATAGGTGTGCCATATATACCCATGTATATATGGTGTGGGAAAATGGTGTGGGAAAACCTCCAAAACTGGATGAAAACCATAAGAAAAGAAATCTGGGCATGACATAGGATTTTTGACTATGCTTTGTGTGTGTGTGTTTTCCTATTTATCTTTCGGAGGAAACCCTTCAATTCAAGCATAACTTTGTTTCAAGTAGATATGCCCAAAGTTAAAACTCAGGAATGTTCAGTGTGGCCCTTCACATGCCATCTTTAATTTGTAGGTGGAAATCTCTTACATCCAAAATAAAACTGATATTTTGATTGGCAGATTGGCTGATATTCAGTAGAAAATGTAATACAGATTCATTTCCACATTAAGTTTTCAGTCTGGCTAACAAATTGTAAAATTTAATGTAAGCACTAAATTTTATAAATAAAGCTGAAGAAAAAAATCTCATTTTAAAATATTCCTATGAACATGAATATATCTATTACCTGTTATCTGGCTGTCTGGCTGCCTCTCTGTCTAATTCAGCATGTAAAGAAGTATTTCTCACAATATTTCCAAGTATTACTACAGTAAGAGTTAATAATGCACTAGAGTTTGTCCCCCCAAAATTCAAGTTTCAATGTTACATACAGCTATAAATTTCAGTGAATAGTTTTTCCTAACATATAAGGTTAAAAATATAAAATCCCATTTTTACTTCTTTAAGTGTACTGAAGAAAATATTGCATGTACTTGTTGTAGATCCCAAGAGGCAAAAATTGGAGAAAGGGAAGATGTTAAGGAGATTCCATAAATTTAGCTTACTTTGTAGATACATTATATTTAAATACAACCGTATCCATTAAATTAAGATAAGGAAGTTTAAAAAGAAGCAATAGACAAGAAATTATTACAAAGTATAATCAAGAACTGAAAATATCAAGAATTGACTATAAATTTAATATATAGATGGTATTACATCTCTTTAGAATTTCATTTTACTGTTGAAAGTCTTTCTAGATTGTATTGGAGAGGTTGTAATCAAACAGGTACCTATTACTTACCTATAACATCTACTTACACATTTTTGCTGAAAGTTTATGAGGAAATTGGAAAATATACAATAGTTATAGCAATTCATTAGAACCCATAGTATAGAAGAACAGAGATCTCAAATTTTATCTCCCAGAAACCTGCTGGTTATTCACACGCTGGCTTGCTTCCTGGCCCTTGGAGTAGCATCTTGGTAGTTTTCACCACCCATCTATCTTCTAGAAGGCTCGTCACCTAGCATCCTCTCCTCTAACCTTAATCTATGAAAGAGAGTTATCTCAATTTAGTAATAAGTGAGAGAAGAAATTGTATTTTTTTTTAGTATTTATGTATAGGGTTGTTTTAGAGTCTGATTTTAATTGATTAATTAATTTTAACTATTTATATGGTATCATTTTTGAATGGGTTTTGGGTCTCTGGTTTTAATTGTGAGCCACCCAGAGTCGCTCGTTGGGGGAGATGGGTGGCATACAAATTTAATAAATAAATAAATAAAATAAAATATTGTGCCATCTTTTGGTCATCTAACATTGAGATGTGTCTAGAGTTATTGGCCCTTTCCCCCCTTGGAGATAGCCCAATCTCTTAGGGATTGTTAAACCTTTATTAAGAAAGAAAAATAAAATTCTAAAAAAACCCCTTTTAGATTTAAATATTAGAATGCAGGTGACTAACGCTGTGAAATATAAATGACAGAGCTGTTCTACTCTGGGAGTGCAGCAACTTCAGATGTATGGATTAAGAAAAAAAAGCCAACCGAATGTATAAACATAAATATAAGAAATCTGGTAGACCATAAAATGAAGCTGATCTGCCACTAATAAGGGAAAACATGTTGTAACTCCAGGTCCCGTCCCCTAAATCTCGCCCCCTGGTGGATCCTCAGAGACATGCCTTTTCTATGGAACAGCGTCCTCCTGAGATTCAGAGGATCTCCATCCTATTAGGCTTCTGGAGGGCTATAAAGACTGGCTAGGGTTTGGCCTAGGTAGAAGTGGGCCCAGAAAATGCAAGAGTTTATGGGATGTTGAGGAGCTGTGGTTGGTGTTGGTATGGTGTTGTCATGGGGTTTGGTTGGCTTTATTTATTCTGTTTTTATTAATTATTGTTGTGAGCTGCCTAGGATTATCTTGTAAAAGATAGATGGCCATGTAAGTTTCTAATAATTTCTTTTTAAGATCAGTAACATAGGTTTCTTGAAGGTTTGATTCAGATTTACAAAAAACACCATACTCTTTTAATTATGGAGAGACATACTAACTGCACACAAAACAAAATTTAGATGTAGCACAATTCTACTTCAACATTTATCTATTTCTAAACAAGAGACCCTTGAATTAGACGTTCCTTCCAATTCAATTTTATCTAGATTTCTTTTCTGTTTTTCTGGAAGTTGCAAACTTCCATCTGGGGCTGAAGGTAAATGATCTCAGCTTTCTCCTTCTTTCCATCCCTACATGCCACTTCTTGCTCAGAGATCTGCTTTTATCTTTTAAAAAATAAAACTTTTAACTGCCCAGAATGGGAGGAGCTCAGTGAGTCTCTTGATGCATACATGCCAGACACCATCCCTGAGAAAAAATGTGTACGGATAGTTCTTGCATAATGACCATTCGTTTAGTGACCGTTCAAAGTTACGGTCATATTAAAAAAAGTGACTTATGACTGGTGCCCGATGTTATGACTGTCGCAGCGCCCCCATGGTCACGTAATCATGATCTCGGCACTTGGCAACCAGCTCCCACTTATGATGGTTGCAGCATCCTGGGGTCACGTGATTGCCATTTGCGACCTTCCAGCCAGCTGCCAGCAAGCAAAATCAATGGGCAGCCATGTGATTTATTTAACGACCTCATGATTCACTTAATGACTATGTGATTCACTCAGTGACCATGTGATCCACGTAACAACCACAGTAATTTGCTTAACGATCACCACAAAAAAGGTCGTAAAATCAGGTGAGGTCACATGATGATTTGCTTAATGACCACATCGCTTAGCAACCTAAATTCCAGTCCCAGTTATGGTTGTTAAGCAAGGACTACCTATATTGGTATGTCTGTGGCTGTCATATGTTGTGAGAGTAGCCCTTCCCAGCCCCCCATGTCAGGGGGCTGGGAAGGGCTATTCTCACAACAACATTATTTAATAACTACTGTTAACGTAGTGTTAGTGTTTCCCAGGTCATGTAAAATGGTGCAATGCAAGAAATATTTATTAACAGTTCACCTTGAGTACTGACAACTACTGTTATCATACACAGGAATTTTTGGGCAGAAGCTGGAAGACACAGTTCGTTATGAGAAACGATATGGAAACCATTTGGCTCCGTTGCTGGTAGAACAGTGTGTGGATTTTATTCGCCTGCGGGGGCTGAAGGAGGAAGGACTTTTCCGACTGCCAGGCCAGGCTAACCTTGTCAAAGAGTTACAGGATGCCTTTGATTGTGGAGAGAAGCCGCTGTTTGACAGGTAGGATAACAAATATATCTTTTTTTATAATCTTCTCTCTCAGGGCTCAGAAAATGCATTTCTCAAAGCAACCTCCCCAGCCAGGTGCCTTCCATGTCCATTTGGACTACAACTCCAGATACATTTGGACTATGACTGCAACTACAAGTTCAAGCCAGCATGGTCAGCTGGCTGGAGTTTCTGGGAGTTGTTGTCCTCACACATCTGTAAGACACCAGGTTGGGGAATGCTGTGTTAAAAACTTACTAGTGTGGGAATTTATAATAAAAGGAGATTTGGACTTGAAACGCTTAATTCAAATCCATTCTCAGGTATAAAGCCTCCCAGTCCATTCAGATTTATCAATAATTATGGCATTCAACTGTATTAGCAGTGAATGTGAGTTCTGGATTCCATTACACCTTCAAAACTGTTTCAGAAGTATCTGATAGAATCTGGGGCTCTTTCTTTAAAGAATTACAAGCTTCCCTTTTATCCTAGAATTCTTGTTTTTGTGGAACAGTTTCCCTCAAGGTGATAATCACTAGATATATTGAGACTACAGATTCCAGAATGCTGAGAGCTGAGAACTGGAGGCAACAGAGGAGAGCAAGCTGCTGTGGGTGACTCCAGGAGTTCTTAATTTTTCACTACCAAGAATCCCAGCTTTTACTTTATTCTATATTATTTTTTAGCTTTGCAACAATGTATTTTCTGTTCTTCCTTTCACTCTATCCATTCTGCCAATTGCTCTATCATAAAAAGACTATTCTTCTTGCCTCTCTCCCCTTCTCTCTTTCTAAAAACTCCTACTCACATCTGGCCAACTGTAAGGAGATTGTCATAAATGTCTCAATGAAATGGGCAGCTTGTCTGTGCATGCTGCCAACCTAAAGAGGCAGTTTTTCTGAGAGGAAAGGGCTGAAAATAAAATGCCAAGTATAAGTTTGTATTTTGATTGATGATGCAACTGCATATGAAATAATAATTATTTATCAAGGGTCAGGCTATGGGACTATCTGGCTCAATATTGTTGACATTGACTGGGACTCTATAGCATTTCAAACACTTTGCACACACACACACCCTGCCCGACACAGAAACTTCCATGTAGATGTAATTCCCTTAGGTCAAGTCACATTCCAGTTGTTGATCTTAACCCATTTATCCATTATTTGTTGGGGGAATCCATCACTGTTTGGACGTTCATAAGCTCTGCTGGTTGTTAACTTTCCAGGGACTGCAATTGCATTTCAAGCTGTTTGCACATTAATTTAATCCACAGTGGAAGGTGTGTCTGAAAATATATCCATATGAAATCCTTTGACATACAGGTGTGCTCTCCCTACGCCATAACAGTTCTATGCCAGTGAGTTTACTAAAGGGAGATGATGCTGGGAAGAAAGTTCCGGCTGAGCTCCTGTGATTTTATAGATGACGCACATTTTTGCTAGGCTCAGCAACTGTCAGTTGGTGATGGATATTCTAAAAAATGGATCCTTGCAGGAAGACACAAGTCCGCCAAGGAATATTTGTGGAGTTTTGCTGTTCAGTCTCTTTCTGACCCACTATACCTGCCTGACGGTACAAGCTGTTTAATTGGCACAGAACTAAACTGGAGGCTCAGCCTATTTACACGGTGGGAAGTTACATGCCCACACAGAAGGCATATATTCACCTGAACAGAGGACGATCCTGAACTGATAATTATCTTCCCCAAAATCAAATGGAGCAAAATTATAATTGCCAATTCCAGCTGAAATAAATCATGGAGATTCCGCACACACCTGAAATATGTCCATGTGACACATTTGCATGTGTATGTGTATATGTATATACCTGCCAGAAGCTACATTCCCCAAAAAAGGGCAGGGCCAAGAACAAAGGTATACTAATTAAGTTAATAATGACCAATTAAAATTAATGTCTTGCAAAATAAAGTATCCCAATTACAAAAATTGTTCCACATCTGCATATGGCAACCAATCTCTTTCTCATAAACAACCCAGTTTCACACAAAGAAATGGAAGTACACCCACACGCACGCGTGCACACACACACACATGCACACCCCTTCCTTTCAGCAGGACCAACCCAAAAAAGGGATAAAAAATGATGGAGATAAAATAAGAGGAAAGGAACTAGGGGAGGGGAGGGGAGGGGAGGCACAACATTGGACTAAGGTAGGGAGACAGCTAACTAGACAAAGAAAGAGGGATAAGAGGGATAAGCTCAAGTTAGGCATTATAAAAAGTTAAATTCACCAGGCAAGAAACTCCTCCAAGCCAATCTTCAAAGTCATCTGTTTCAGCCATTTGTTTCTTGTGCCCATTCCTTTGTTTTCAGCACCTTCCTCTATACTTATCGGCAGGAATAAGATAAGTATGGGGAGGGGGGAGCTTTTTATGTCTTTCTGTTTTTTTACCCTTTCAGCTACCAATCTGGTTATATCTCTTCATTGGTTTTCTTCATTTCCTAGAAAAAAAGAAGTGTAAAGGCCATGGCTCAGCCTTAGAGACTCAGCTGCTCCCTTATGTACCTTATGTATCAGGGATCTTATCTTACAGACACCACATTTGTCTCAGATTCACCCTGTGCAACCAAAGAGGGGGCATTGTTGATACAGGCACCAGATTGTCCAACAACGTCTGCTCAGCTGCATGTTGCTCACCTTGACTTTAAAAAAATGGGCAATTATAGATCTCAGGTAGCGGCAGTTGCAAAAGATATTCCTTTGGCTTTGCATGGGCATACAATATTTAAGTAGGAAGATTAAATACTGGGAACCTAAACGTCCCTGTATTTGCTTCTGTAATTAGACTTTCTGAACTACACAGACCATTAATAGAACTTGTATTTTTTACAGTGGGTTTGTTTATATATGTCATTTCTTTATCTTCAATTTCTTTATGTTTTAATTTCCCCCAAGGAAATTACCCAGTGTGGTAAGAAGGCAAAGCATTGGATTCCATGAACTGTACAATAAAGGGAGAAAAGAAGAGAAATGTTTAGAACCTCTCTGTACTCATAATCAAAATTGCTTCAAAGCAGTCTGTTGTTTTATTGCTCTTTTATGGGTCTCAACAGTTGGCTTGTTTTTGTTTTAATACTTAACATGTTATTTAGTTTTCTAACTGGATTGTGAAGAGGTGGGACTGAATTCAAGTGGGATTGATTATATTGGAATTCATCTTTCCAGCTAAACTACTATGACATGTATTTCCTAGAGTTTGAATGTGTGTTTGTGCGTGCATGTGTGTGTGTGTATTCAGGAAGCAGTGCTAACATACTGAAACTAATTTTGCTAGAGCAATCCTATCGACAAGAAGGAAATCACAGCTAAAACGTGTTGTGGTTTTTGGCTGCAATTTCAAGAGCATCTTTAAATGTTAAGGTAGGAATGTTACTTGCTTTTTCTCCCAGCAGCACAACAATTAGGAACAACTTCTAATTTTGTTTTGTTTTTTAATTATTTCTGGAGCAGCTAGAGATGTTAACAAAGCTCATAATTCCTCTTTGAAATACAAGATTTCATCATTCTCAAGCACACCATTAGGAGAGTGGGTGAAAAGCAAGGGAACCCTTTGTGAGCTAAGGGAGGGGTGGGGCACTGTATTTTTCACATTTGCTTGTATTTCTTGATTCCAAAAAGACACGGACAAAACACAGATCTTTTGCCGGGATAATTTGCAAAAGCTTAAAAGAAATGAACTGTGTTGAGGTGACCTGTGGAGAACTGGACCACCAGCCCAACCAAGTCAAAAGCCTTTGCACTAAATTTTACCGTAGCCTCCATTTTTAAGGAAGGAAATTGCTGTAGGTCATCCCAAAATATGGTTCTATGTGTCAAATGTTCAGATGGATCAATACTTTCTACTCAAGCCAGTAAAACTAATCAAATGAAATTTCAAGAATTATCCTAGTATTTTCCCCACATGCTCTTTTTTCTGGACCATAGATATCAAAGAATAAAAACTATACATGAATGTAAGATATAGTGCGAAAAGCGGATTAGATTCTGCTTGTGGATTTGTCCAGGTTTAATAACCTTGATTGCACTGTCAAGTTAAAAATATTTACATATGTAAGGTCTCTTCCCAATGTCTTATTTAATGCATTGGTCACATCTCTAGGTAGATATTAAATATGCTGTTAACGTTCCAATATTGAACATGTCTGAGCAATAAAAATATTTAAATTACATAGTGTCCTACATGAACACCAGGCATACTAGCAAATACCTTATCATTGCTTAATATATCAGTTAAATAATCTCTGTATTTCTAAATACAGGGCAGAAAGGTAGAATGCAAATTGAAACAGATGGCGATGATGATGATAATGATAATGATGATAGCACAAATGTTGGATTAAACCCTATATATCATCTCTCCATCGTGCAAGTAGCAGAATGATCCATTTCATTTCAGAGTTACAATTGGCAAAGTAATTTATCACCTTATAGATACATAAGGATGTTCAGAGTTTCAATTGTACACATGTTTTCTAGACCTCTCTACATTCAACTTTATTAAGACAGTGACTCTATCTGTATTTGGTAACCATCATTTTCTTAGAACATTGCTGCATCATAAAAACAAAGTTGAACAGGAATTTAAAGGCAACCCAGTCCAATTCCCACTTGTTGTAGAATCCACTAGAGCATCTCTGATAGATGAACATTCTCTAGTAGTGTCATTAAAAAAAAAAAGACTTTGAGTCTGTCTTGACTCCTGGAGACCACTTGGACAAGTCAACAGAGTTCCTAGGCAACATTTTCTGAAGTGATTAGTCATTACCTTCTTCCTAGGGCTGGTACAAATATCCAACTTATCCACAGACATGGTCTGTAAGGGTCCATACGTTCCCTACTTTCAGTATCTATTATCTTCTTCCTAGGACTAAGAGACAGTGATTGGTCCAAGGTACCAGGGTGGTTTCCATGTGTAAGGAACTTGGGTTTTCCTGTTTCTAGTCCAACATCTTATCTACTAGGCTCTCCAGATGCATCATATTGTATC